TCGGGGCTTTAGCTGTTGACTGAAAACCCTCTAACTTCTCACTGTGGCCAAATATGGCGCAGGGAGTGCAGTGCCCAAACTGTGTGTTCTACGTGTCCCGAGATGTGTGTGACATCAACAACATTAAAGTTGATCTGTATCAGTGTCTGTGATTGTGTATGTCTCTCTTGAATCTCTCTCTCAGTCTCTATATGTCTCTGTCTGTGTACGTGTGTGTGTGTCTATCTCTCTACCTGTATCTCTCTCTGTATCTCTGGTTCTCTGCTTGTGCGTGTGAGTGGTGTGCGAGTGTGTGCATTAGTGTGTTTGTGAGCGTTTAGTTGTATATAGATGGGTGTCTATATGTGTGTGTCCATTGTCTGTGTCTGTGTCTGTATGTGTGTGCAGAGATGCTGCCACACACCAGGCTTCACCAGGTCTCAGTGGTCCAGAGCAGTCATTGTGTTGTACCCAGGCCTGTGACAGCTATGTTAAGGTTCAAGAAGTTATGTACACATTACATCACTTTCAGAAACTTTCTCATTGTGTCTCTCTGTCACTCTCTCTGCCTATGTGTGTGTGTATCTGTGTGTGTGTGTATCTGTCTCTCTGGGTCTGTGTATGTTTAGTTTTCTGTGTCTCCCTTTTGTCTCTCTGGTTCTGCGTGTGAGTTTATCTCTCTTGTGTCTCTGTCTCTCTCTGACGGTATGTGTGTGCACCTGTCTGTGTCTCTGTCTCCCTCTCAGTATCTGTGTGTGTGTATCTTTCTATATGTGTGTGTGTATGTTCTCTCTCTCGCTCTGTATCTCTGTCTCTGTATATGGTTCATCTCCCGCTTTCTCTGTTAGTATCTCTCTCTTCACCTGTGTGTTTCTCTCTGTCTGTCTGTGTGTATTTCGCTCTGTGTCTGAATTTCCCTCTGTGTGTGCCTGTATGTATTCCGCTGTGTGCTCTGTCTCTCCCTCTGTCTATATGCATCGCTCTCTTTTACTGTCTACTTCTCTCTGTCTGTCTGTGTGTGTATCTATCTCTATATTTGTGTAGCCCTGTCTGTCTGCATTTCTCCCTGTTTGTCTGTCTATCTGTATCTGTGTGTGTGTATTTCTCACCGTGTTCCTGTTCTTCTGTATCTCTCTGATGTTGCACATATCTCTCTGTGTGTATCTCCCTCTCTCTGTATTTTTCTATCTGTTTGTATGTGTGTCTGTATCTGTGTGTGTTAAACTCTCTCTTCCTGTGTATGTCCTCATCTGTGTGCCTACGCATCTGTGAGTGTGCACAGGTGTCTGTGTATCTCTTTCTTTCTCTCTCACATTGTGTGTATGTATCTCTCTCTCTGCCTGTGTGTCTGTTAGTATTTCACTCATTGGATCTATCTGACTGTGTGTATATCTATGCGTGTGTTTGGTTGTGTCTACGTAACTCCCTATCTTTGTATCTATCTCTGTCTGCGTGTGTTTCTGTATCTCTTTCTTTCTGTTTTTCTGTGCATGTTTATGCATATGTGTCTATATGTTTATGCGTACACGCTTTTCTGTGTAGTTCTCTCTGTGTATATGTTTCTGTGTGTGCATATCTCTGTGTGTGAATGTCTCTGTGTGTGTCAATGACTGTCTGTGTGTGAGTGTCTATTTTTTGTATATGCACGTGTGAGTTTGTGCGCATTTCCCTCGTTGTGTTTTTATATTTGCGTATATGTATATGTGTGTCTGTATGTGTATCTATGTGTGTCTGTGATGATGGGGAGGCACTATCACACACCACACCACACCTCAGTGGTCTCGAGCAGACATTGTGTGGTTCTCTGCCCTGTGACAGCTATGATGAAGATCAGATAGAGACACACAGATCACATCATTTTCAGAAACATCCCTCTCATTCTCACTCTATCTGCCTTTGTGTGTCTCTGTGTATGGGTGTAGCACTGTCTGTTCTCTTTTTCTGTATGTTTCCCTGTATGTGTGTCTCGCTCTGCCCTTAACTCTCAAACTTTCTGCCTGTCTGTCTGTGTGAATATCTCTCTGTGTGTATCTCACTCTGTCTGTATCTGTGCGTGTTCGTGAGTGTGCCCCTGTATCTCTCTCTCTCTCTGCCTATGTGTGTGTATATCTGTGTGTGTGTGTCTTGCGCTGTCTCTCTGTGTCTGTGTATGTTTAGTTCTCTGTGTCTTTCCTTTGTCTCTCTGATTCTGCGTGTGAGTTTAACTTTCTGTGTCCCTGTCTCTGTCTCTCTCTGGCGGAATGAGTGTGCATCTGTCTGTGTTTCTGTCTCTGTCTCCCTCTCTGTATCTGTATCTGTGTGTTTATCTTTCTATATGTGTGTGTGTGTATGTTTTCTCTCTCTCTCTCGCTCACTCTGTATAATCTGTATCTCTGTCTCTGTATCTATATGTCTGTATATGGTTTATCTCCCGCTCTCTCTGTTAGTATCTCCCTCTACACCTGTGTGTATCTCTCTCTGTCTGTATGTGTGTCTCTGTATCTGTGTGTGTCTGTTTGTCTATGTATTCCTCTCTCTGTGTCTGGTTATCTATGAGTCTGTCTGTTTGTTTGTGTACCCCTCTATCTCCCTTTGTCAGTGTGCATGTGTGTCTCCCTCTCTGTATTTGTCTTCAAATTTATCTCTCTGTCTCTCGGACTGTACGTATACATCTGTGTATGTGTCTCTGTGTCCCTCTCTCTACATTTATCTTTTTCTGTGTATGTATGTATTTGTGTATGTCTATTTGTGTATGTATGTCTAGGTGTGCGTGTGTGTGTGTGTAGGCGTATGTGTCTGTATTTGAGTGTGTGTGTCTATTTGACTTTCTGAGTGTGTGTGACTTTGTGTTTGTGTGTCTGTGTGTGTAGATATGAAGGTGGTGGCACACACCAGACTTTACCAGGCCTCAATGGCCTTGAGCAGACATTTTGTTGTACCCGGGCCTGTGACAGCCATTTTGAGGGGCTGTTTCTTTGTTCATGAAGATATAAACCGCTGGTCTGGTCTGTGTGGGTAACGCCCTGATTGTGGCGACATGAGCGAACTCACTACAGCATGGTTTTCCAACTCAAATTAACAGGATTTACACCAAATCTACATTCTCAACCGTCCGATTGTCAGTGGAATGAACGGCCCCAGTTTGAGCTTTTGCTATTTGTTGATCGTATATTTGAGTTGTGTTTGATTTACATGTTATTTTTGCCCTTTGCTCTCGTGCTGTGACTGTCAGCAACAGAGAGGAACAATAGGCTGTGAGTTCAGCTCTGCACATCCTGTGGTTAGTTATCCCAGCGCCTGGTTTCCTTTCTTTCTGTACAAGCAATGAAACAAATGCAGAACAAGAAGCCGGGGCTTTAGTTGATGATTGAACTTGATTATACAACCTAAGATGCTATTTCGGATTGAAGGACTGATGAACCATGATTTGTATAGCAATAAACCCTCGGTGGAATCGTAGGTTTTATCACAGGGCTAAACATGTCTCTCCCAGTGTTATTGATAAAAATCACTCAAATACAATTGGTTACTCACTTCAAGCTATTCAAAGGCCATTGCTGTTTGCTATTTGGCTAATGTGTTTGCCCACAAAATCTCGTGAAGCATTTAGTGAAGTCCTCTTGGTGTGAATGGTCCATGTAAATGCAATATGTAACAATGTAAAACTAATAGTAATATTTAGTGGTAGTAATAGTATTACGATAGAAAATTACAAAATTACATTTGTACATCGCCTTTCACCCAAGATACTCTCCATAGAATCAGCAAAGGAAGAGTCGTATAAATTCCGAGCTGTTGCTGTCACCAAACAGACCAAATGGGAGACAGAAAACAGAGAGCGCTGGTAAACAGTTGTTTTTCTGTCTGGAGGGAAGTGTGCAGTGTTATGCCCCAGGGTAGGGGTCGGAGGGGGTCGGTTGTGGGACCACTGGTGTGTTTTTATCTGTATAAATAACTTGGACATGGGTATAGGGAGTACAGTTTGCAAGTTTCCAGATGATACTAATCTAGGACAAGTAGCAAACAGTGAGGAGGATAGTAATAGACTGCAAGAGGTAATAGACAGACTAGTGAAATGGGCAGACATGTAGCAGATGAAGATTAATGTGGAGAAATGCGAAGTGATGTATTTTGGGAGGAAGACTGTGGAAATATAAGCTGATGGTAGAATCTTTAAAGGGGTGAAGGAACAGAGAGACCTTGGAGTTCATATAAGTAAATCTTTGAATGTGGCAGATCAGGTAAAGAACTTTTTAAAAAGTATTCGGGTACTTGGCTTTATAAATAGGGGCATAGAATACAATACTCAGGAAGTGATGGTGAACCTTAATAAAATACTGGTTAGGCCTCAGCTGGAGATTGTTCAATTCTGGGCACCACACTTGAGTTTCCTCAAGTTATTGGTGAGGGTGCAAAGTAGATTTTCCAGGATAGTACCAGCAATGAGCGACTTCAGTTACCAGGGGAGGCTGGAGAAGCTGGGTTTGTTCTACTTGGAGCAGAGAAAGCTAAGAGGAAACTTAACGGAAGCTTTCAAAATTATGAGGAAATTCAATATAATGAACGAGGAGAAACTGTTTCTACTGGCGGGTGGGTCTGTATCTGAGTACACTGATTAAAAATAGATGTTAAAAGAAACAGAGGTGAGTTGAGGTTTTCTTTAAACACAAGTTGTTGGAATCTGGTATTCATTGGCTGAAAGGCTGGGGGAAGCCGATTCGATAACAACTTTTATTTAAGAGAGAAGTAGGTAATTATTTGGGGAGGATATGTTTGCAGGACTATAGAGAGGGAGCTTGGAAATAGATTTGGACAGCTCTTTTCAAAGAGCTGGAACAGGCATTATGGGCTATCTCTTCTCTGCTGTATAATTCTATGATTCTATGAAATTGGCTGATGCATTCACCACCGAAATACAAATTAACAACAATTCGCAGTAAATGGGGAAGTGTTTTGAGACATTCTCCTCACTTGAAAGAAACCAAGTGCAAGAAAAGTTAGTAAATTTATCCTATTTCAGTAAGAAATCTGACTTTGCTTAAATCCTGTTTGTTACACTGACTTACAGTTTACTTCATTCGCAGGATAAATGTCAAATGTGAGAAAGGAGGAAAGTCATTGGATAAGCTAACCTTATGGTATTGTCTGGTAGATCACGTCTGGATTCCCTGTTAGCCTTGTAAAAGTTGTTCTACAAGAAACATAAATAAGGCTGAACACCTGTCACAAAACTCACCACCAGCTCGGCTGCACTTAGCAGGAATGAAACGCCTTGTTGGAACATTGTTGGAAAAGAGAAAACAAAACTCTAAAACACTGAGACACGAAAAACCTGATGAATCAATGAAATGGTCACCGTCACCACAACCAAACACATCCACATCTGGCGGGAATGAAACAGCGAGTACATCTGCAGTTACCCAAACACATTGTGATACGGATGCAAATCCCAACCAATGTTCCAGCATTTTGGGTACGTCGAGCGAGATGGCTTCCATTGAAACTGAACCGATAGCGAATGCAGAGTGCCATGCGATGATATGCGGTGTGCACCAGATACCCGGCAACCCACCAGAAGGCAATGTCTTCTCTTTATCTGACTTTGAGGAAAGTCTTAAAGAGACGATAACGAACAAAGGTAAATAGTTTATTGAGTACTTTTACACATAAATAAATACTTTTATCTCACCGGCCTTGGAACTCGGAGACCTGTCAATGTCGATTTTGATTGAGCAAACTCCCAGTTTGTTTAAATGACGATCTGGGAATTGTTTGATGGTTCATGAACCAAATCCCAGGTGATGACAAACCAGCCAGCCGGGCACATGGGCAAGTTTTGCAGAGATAGACCAGCCAGCCGGGCACATGGCAAGTCTGGAACTGACAGACCAACCAGCCTGGCACATGGGCAAGTCTTGCAGTGAAAGACTAGTCATAGGGGAATGGATTATTCCCGAATGTCTAGTCTTTTACTTACAGCTCCTGTTATCGATGTAAACCACCGCCCTTATGGGTAGAGTGGATACAGCCTACATGTATGCGGATGACACTCAAATCTACTTCTCCGCCTCCTGCTTCTCCTCCATTTACGTCTCCCAGTCCAGTAATGTCCAGTCAGTTTGTCTGACAGACAACAAGGTCTGGATGAGCACAAACTTCCTGCAGCTGAACGTCTGCAATACGGAAGCCACACTATTAGGCTCCCGCCAACCTCTTCGTTCCTGTGGGTCCAAATCCCTCAACCTCCCCAGGATCTCGCCCAAACGCACCAAACTCCTGCGCAACCTAGGAGTCAGGTTAGATCCACAGCTTTACTGTCTTCCCCAATTTCGTTCCCTGACCAGGATCGTTTTTTTCCACCTCTGTCGCATTGCCCTCCTCTGACCATAACTCACACCCACAGCTTCTACCTCATCCGCGCGTTTGCCACCTCCCAGCTGGACATTCCAAATGCCCTCCATGTTCGTCTCCCAAGATCCACCATAAACAATATTCAATTAACTCCGCCATCCGGATACTAACCAACACAAAGCTCTGGAGTGTCATCACACCAGTCCTTGCCAGGCTGCACTGGCACCCAATTTCCGAACGGATCGACTTCAAGTTTCTCTCCCTCATTTTCAAATGCCGACATGCACCTCGCCGACATACTCAACCCCCAGTCCTCCACCCGCTGTCTCAGGCTAGGCCTGCTCCGGCGCCCTGTTTGGCCCTCGCCCCCTCCTTTTCAACATCGGTGGCCATCCCTTCAGCCACTACGCCACAAAGCTTTGTAACTCTCTCCCTCAATGCCTACACCTTGCCCTCTGGCTCCCCAGTTGAAGGGAGGGGTGTGAAGGCCAGATACTGTTGAGTGATCCCAGCGAGACAAACAATGGACACTTTACGTTCAGTGCTCTGAATAGTTTTAGCTGATTGGATTATTTGTTAAACTACAGCCGTGACACACAACATACACGCCAGATACCCCATAGATATTTTTTTCATCTAAAATATATAATATCCACCAGGCAGCCTCATCCACCTGCCTTTTGTCGCCCACCACCAACCCTCTCGGCCCTCCTCACCCTCCCCATCAGCAGCTCCTACCTCGACCCCCATCCTACATTCCTTCCTCCCCATCTCTCCCTCCTCCCTCTCACCTACCATCACCTCCATGAAACCCACCACCTGCTGCCTCGATCCCCTCCCCACCAACTTGCTGGTCACACAGCTCCCCTTCCTCTGGCCACTATTGGCTGACATCATCAACCAGTCCCTCCCTACGGATCAGACCCTGCCCCCCTCAAAACTGCTGCCATCACACCCTTCCTAAAAAAAACCTTCGCAAGATCTCTCAAATCCCAGCCATTACCGCCCTATTTCTAAACTTCCCTTCCTCGCAAAAGTCATAGAGCGCGTTGTTGCCAAACAACTCCGCGCACACCTCTCCTCCCACTTCCTCTACGAACCCCTCCAATCCGGTTTATGCCCACATTACAGAGACTGCACTTATGAAAGTCACAAACGACATCCTCTTTATCTGTGACCAGAGCTCCCTCTGCCTCCTTGTCGTCCTGGACCTCTCCGCTGCGTTCGACACAGTTCGATCATGCCATCGTCCTCCACCGCCTTTCCTCCGTCATCCATCTCAGTGGGACCGCACTCGCCTGGTTCGAGTCCAACCTCACAAACTGCCAACAGTACATCTGCGCAAACGGCTTCTCCTCCCGCTCTCACCCGGTCACCTGCGGGTACCCCAAGGATCCATCCTTGGCCTCCTCCTCTTGCTGATCCTCATGCTCTCTCTTGGGGATGTCATCCGCAGACATGGGGTATATTTCCACATGTACGGGGACGACACTCAACTATTTTTCCATCTCTCTCTTCGCCCCCCAGTCCCTGATGTTCTGTCAGCTGACTGTCGGATCTCAGGGGCTGGATGAGCGCAAATTTCCTTCAGCTGAACGTTGACAAGACGGAAGCCATATTCTTTGGCTCCCGTCAACGTCTGAAGTCTCACGGTTTTCACCTCCTCAACAAACCCGACCTCCCACTAAAACTCTCCGAACCCGTACGTAACCAAGGCGTCAGGTTCGACCCACAAATATCCTTCCTCTCCCACATCCGGTCCCTCACCAGCACCGCTTTCTTCCACTTCGGACGCATCGCCCGTCTCCGCCAATATCTCACCACAAAAGCAGTTGAAACCCTGGTTCATGCCATTGTCACCTCTCGCCTGGACTATTCTAACGCCCTCCTCGCCGGCCTCCGATCCATTCGTGAAATCCAGATTATTCAGAACTCTCACCCGCACCAAACTCCGCTCCCCGAACCCCCAGTCCTGGCCAGACTGCATAGCTGCCTGTCCCAGAGAGGATCGACTTGAAGATCCTCAACTTGTCTTCAAATCCCTCCACTCCTCTTCACCCACCGACCTCTCTTACCTCCTCTCTCATCACAACAGTGCCCGTTGCCTTCGCTCCACTGGGTCTGGCCTCCTCCTTGTCCCCCGAATCATCTGCCACCAGCCACTACTCCCCGAGGAGCTCTGGAACTCCCCTCCTCACTCCCTTCGGCTCGCCCCTGCTCTTCCTATTTTCAGGTCTCTGCTGAAAACCTTTCTTTTCGATTGCGCCTTTGGTCACCTTGCACTCCCACCCCCACCCCCGCACATACACCACTGCTGGGTCCCAAGATCCGTTACTGTGAAGCTCTGAGACGCTCTGGAGAGCACTGTATAAATCCAAGTTGTTGTTGTAGACATAGTAGTTGGCAATCTGCAAGCCATAACACTGAACATCACTCTATTCCAGACAAAGGGAATGTTCTCTGTGGCATGAGTATAAACATAATATGCACAATAAAAAAAATACTAGTAGGCCTTGATTTGGTTTAGCTACAAATCATGTGATAAAAATCATTCCATATCAGGAAGACAACCCAAAGCGAATGTGACTGTGAGTCTTGTGGGAGAATGTGACAATATGCAAACAACAATGTCCCTCAAATAGCCATGGTGTGAGAGACCAATTTTGTTTGGTGTTTATTTATCCAGGATACCGGGAGCAACTCCCTTGTTTTAACCAACAGCAGAGCAACAACAAATGGGACCTTGGTTTAGTGCCCAGTCTGAAGTTGGCAGCTCAGCAGTGCAGGATACCCCAGCAGTGACCTGCTTTGCAGTGAGAAGATATGAGTTCCATTTCCCGCCGTGTGGCTTCAACCCTCAAAACGCTCTGATAGGTTTATCTTAATAGATTTGATACACGTGTTCGTAAATCATGAGGGATTTTGAGAGTAGAGAGGCTATAACTGTTTCTCTGGAGGGTCCGTGAATGAGGGACACAGACTTAAGATAATAGGCAAAAGAACCAGAACAAAACAACCTTCTGTCTCAGGAACGGGAATGATACCAACTGAGCCAGGCTGGCAGTTCTCTGATGTTAGCTTCCAAATTGTATTTTAGGCCAATGGATGATGGTTTATTCTGATTTTTTGCAACAATAAATGTAATATTTCCTGAAATATATTTTTAGAGAATACAAGTAAAATCATGTCTGACTAACGTTTTTACTGGTTACTAACAGGCACAAACACCTTATTCACCGAGACCCTGGCCCTGTACAATGGGTACCAGCTGCACCGACTGACAAAGTTCTATCGGGATAGATTGGAACAGGCCATTGAGGAAGGCGTGGAGGACATCAGCTCAAGGCTGACACAGAAGGAATGTTTCAGCCCCCAGGAGCACAAAGTAGGTTTGAGTCAGGAGGTTTCCCTTTCATTTGTTAAAAGCTCAGCAAATCTGTGCCTGTCTGCACGGCTCATGTGCTGCTGTTATCAGGAAATCAGCAGAATGCCAATCAACACTTCACAGCCAGTTGTGTTGTAATGCAGGCCATGTACTCTATGTTTGTAGTGGAGCAGTACTGCACAATGTAATAGGTGTCTGGTTATATAGCGTTTGAATAGCACCGTTCACGTGGCGAGGCAGTCTCAAGGCACTGACAGTTGAAAGTTAGAGCCCGAGCTGGATTTGGGAAGGGAAGGGGAGGGAAGATGATCAAAGGCATAATCACAGAGGAAAGCAGTTTGTGGAGGGAAGAGATAGCAAATCCAGCCAAGCCATCAATTGGTCTGGGTATTGCTGATCACTGTCACTGTTCATGTTTCACTCCATCTTCAATACATTAATGCTCACTCTCTGCAGAAACTCACTGAGCTCACACACAGTGGGCGGAAGAGACAAAGCTCGAAACTTCTTCTGAACATGGTGATGGGGAAAGGTTCCCAGGCCAGGATAGTGATGTGGGAATCCTTTGTGAAAATGAGGCCAACTTTGCCCAAACTGAACAAAATCATGACTGAAATACAGGAACAAGGTAATGTTATACATATTACCATGGGCCGAATGGCCTCCTTCTGTGCTGTAACATTCTATGAATGTGTGATGGTACGCAGTGTCTCCATTCTGTGGCGAGTTACAGATTTTACTCAAATAGTATTGAGACAAAGTTCATTCAAGCTAGTAATATTAACTCTATTCAAACAGGTGCCAGTCTAGTGAATGAGGTGACCATCGACCGAGGTGTACCAGACGTCTCCAGTGATATGATAGGTATGAGACAATGACAAGATTCAAGCCAGTCAATCACTTCCGAAATAAACAGTTTAAAACTTTTCCATTTACTTGGTGATTTCCAGAAAACTCAAATGAGGAGGAGAGAGGGTAGTAGGCAGACACAGAGGGAGAGGAGGGGAGAGGGGAGGATTGAAGATGAGGAGGGAGGGGAATGGTCCTTATTGGATTCTTAGATTATTTCAGCAAATATTGCTTTGGTATGATTTTTCTCACAATAAATCAGATGATGTCTCACAAGTCGTCATATAATGGCCTGAAAATCTCCATGGTTTGAATGCAATTCAGATTGTTTAACCCTTGTTTGTCTGGCTCAGTTAGTGTTCCTTTTGTCACGGAGTCAGAGGTTGTTCAAGTTCACATCAACAGGACTAGTTGACACTCCAGTTCAGTTCTGGGATGTGCTGCATTGACGCAGATGCCACCATTGGGATATCAAACCGAGGTCGTGTCTCCCTTTTCAGATGGACTTTAAAAACCCCAAGATACCATTTGAAAAGAGAAGGGAGTTTGTCACTCCCGGTTTCCCGGCCAAAATCTCACAAATAAATGTGGTGACTCACTTAACAGCGGCTTGTGGGACATCGCTTTGCACAAATTAGCCGCTGTGTTTGCCAGCGAAAGACAGCCACTACACCCTAGGGTTAAGCTAGTGCAGCGCTTTGGGCAGTCCTCCTGCCTTGAAAGGCCTTACACTGAATCAAAGTATTATTGTTTAACAATGCTCAATAATGCTTCTATTTACTTTATGATTATTTAATATTCAACATGAAGCTATTCAGCGACTGCACAAGGAGACGTTACAGAAACAATGTGAGAAACTGGAAGTGAAGACCATCCTGATAAAGGAGAAGGTGAGGACGTTTCAGTTGGTTGATCGCTACACGGAATTAACAATCATTTCTGATCTCCGTCACCGGAAACTGGTAGAACATGAGCTGCTGGCGAGAGGCAGAGACCACGAGGAGTGGAGACAGAAGCAACTCCGGGGAGAGCTGGAAAAAATCCGAACTGATAAACTGTTCCACAGCAGCTTCTCAAAAAGAAATACTTTACCTTCTTCTCAGAGAAGTGGATCTGATCCTCCTACAGGGACTTCCGCAGTAGTCAGTGGAGTGGCTGGGATTGGAAAAACAACCATGGTGCAAAAGATTGTCCATGACTGGGCCACAGGCAAAATCTATCCTCACTTCCACTTTGTATTTGTTTTTAAATTCCGAGACCTAAACAGACTTCACGACAGAACAACGCTGAACCGCCTGATCGGGGAGCAGTATCCTTACCTCAGGGGTGTTCTGGATGAGCTGTGGAAACACCCAGAGACATTGCTCTTTATATTTGATGGTTTGGATGAATTCAGGGCAAGGATTGATTTCGCTGACAGTCGGAGAGACACAGAGCCTCAGCGCAGGTGCACAGACCCTGAATTCCTCTGTGAAGTTTCTGACATTGTGTACAGTTTAATACAGAAAAAGCTGCTGCCAGGCTGCTCAGTGCTGGTGACCAGCCGCCCCACTGCATTACAGTTACTGGCAAAGGCTCAGGTCAGTGTCTGGGCTGAAATCCTGGGATTTGTGGGTGAAGAGAGAAGGGAATATTTTCACAAGTTCTTTGAGGATCAGGAGGTGGCGGCTGCTGTTTACAGCCACGTGGAGGAGAACGAGCTCCTGCTCACCATGTGCTACAACCCGTCCTACTGCTGGATCCTCGCTCTGTCTCTGGGTCCCTTCTTTACACGGAAACACAGCAACAAACAGCAGTGCCCAAGACAGTCACACAACTCTTCTCCTATTATATTTATAACATACTATCACATCACAGTGTCAAGATGGAAAGCCCCCGTGATGTGATGCTGAAGATTGGTGAAATGGCCTTCACTGGAGTCTCCCATAGAAACATTGTCTTTAATAATGAAGATCTGTTCAAATATAACCTCCAGCCTTCCCAGTTCCTCTCTGGGTTTCTCATGGACCTTGTGGAGAGAGAGTCTTCAGAGCACAGTGTGGTCTACACATTCCCGCACCTCACCATCCAGGAGTTTGTTGCCGCACTCGCTCATTTCCTGTCTCCTCATTCCAAACAAACCATGTGGCGTTTGATCCGTGGTGACATGGAGGAGGACGGCCGGTTTGAGATATTCCTGCGCTTTGTTGCGGGTCTCTCCTCCCCACGGGCAGCTCAGCCACTGGAGGATTTTCTGGGGTCATTTGTCCATCAGACAACCTGCGCGGTGATCGATTGGCTGAAGGAGAAGGTTAAAGCTCAGATCAGTGACACAGTCACCGTCACTGGGAAAAGGAAGCTGCTGAACACACTCCACTACCTGTTTGAGTCTCAGAATCGAGCCCTGGCACAGCTCACACTGGGCTCTGAACACACACTGACATTTGGTGACATCTCTCCAGGGAAAGCATTGAGACTGACACCGATAGACTGTGTTGTGGTGTCTCAGGTAATTGGACTGTGTGACACAATAAAACTGCTGAATCTGAAGAACTGCTACATTCAGGATGAGGGCCTCCAGCGTCTGGTTCGTGCTGTGCACAAATGTCAGGAATTGTGGTAAGTTTACTCTGTTTGTAAATCTTATTCATATTTTTCTTATTTCAAAGATATTCTCCAGGACTTTAATGACATTAAACATCAGCTGATCAATGGGAGAATGGTATCACACAGCTGGAGGGAACAGTGTGTGACACTGTGATAGCCGTCACACACCACAATCCTGTCCTGCGGGATTGGGATGTGAATGGCTGACATTCCACTGCACACCTGACTGCTCCACACCCTAAGCCCTTCGGTGGCATTCCCAATAGCTGATGCTATTGGGATTGGTTCCTGACTCCCGACTGGATTACTCACTTTATTGAATAAATTTTAACTTGATCCCAGGTCAGACAGACCAGAGTTTGTGCTCAGAGATGCCATTCAGTGGTTACTGTTTATTCATACAGGAGATAGTTCTCCTGACCACAGAGTCTCTGACACACAGAAACCCTTTTAACCTCTAAGCCTCTGAGCTTTCCACCAGCTCAGGACCCGAGGGTTCACTCTCCAGAACTGTGTGATTAGGCCGAAGGATTTCTGTTTCCTCATCTCCCGGCGGCAGCACCTCCCCCAATGCTGCACTCCAGGGCGAAGGGACCTCCCGAGGGCTTGGACATCCCATTTATCCAGGCGCAGCCACACCCTCTCTCCAGTACAATGTTATAAAACTGATACAATATAATTCACCCCAAACACATCTCCCTCAGCCTGACATCAGTCTGACAGGTGTGGGCTCCCCTGGCCTGGTGAAGAGTCTCCATTTCCAGCTCCTGAAATCTCACGACCCCAGAGATTCCGTTTCCCAGATCTGGGGCTCACAGTTTGTGGAGAATGAGAGAATAGACAGATAACCACTGCCCAGAACCTGGTCATTAAAGGCCGGGCTTGCAGAAGCCAAAATAATAGCCTCACTCACACACTGACTGAGGGTTACAGTGCTGCTGAAATAGACCCAGCGTAAACTGTGCTGCTGCCAGGACCAGGCATTGGAGGGAATCCACTCCATTAAGTCCCAACAACCCAGCATGTTAAGATGTATTGCCAAGTTAAAGGCTGTGAGAAATACAAGGTTTATTATTATGATTATTATTATTATTTTTCTGATCAGATCCTATCATTCATATTGGCTCCACTTTATGTCCACAAACGGCTTCTCCCCCAGTCCCCGCACTGCCTCGTGTCTTGTTCCTCAGGGCTTTGCACTTGGTCCCCCTCCTCTTCAACCTGTATATTCTCCCTCTTGGTGACATCATCTGCAGACATGGGTTCAAGTTCCACATCTATGAGGATGACACCCGACTCTACATCACTGCCTCTACCCTCGAACCCCACGACCACTGCTGTAATGACACAATGTCTGTCAGACATCAAGTCCTGGATCAGAACTAGCTTTCTACAGTTGAATGCCAGCAAGTCTGAGGCTCTGCTGCTTGGCTCACACCAGCACCTCCGCAACTCAGGCACTGAGCATCAGCATCTACGGATGCCCACTCCACCTCACCAAACCTGGGTGCCTTTCAACTGTCCTTTCTCCCCCATATCTTTGCCATGACCCGCTCTGCCTTCCCCCACTTCTGCAACATTGCCATCTCCACCTCTGCCTCACCCCTCAGGCTGTCGACACCCTGCCACTTGCCTCCATTACATCCTGGCTCAACTATGCCAATTCCCTGCTTGTCAGCCTTCCCAAATCTTCCCTCCACAAGCTGCATAACATCCAATTCTCTGCAGTTCATGTCATCTCCTGCACCAGATTCCTTGACCCCATCTCCCCCAGCCTCGCCCGGCTCCTCTGACTCCCCATCCCTCAGTAGATAGAACTCAAAATCCTCTCCTCACTTTCCAGGCCCTCTACGGCCTTGCCCCCTCCTAACTCTCTGACGTGCTGACCCCATTCAGTAGCCTGCGGCCTTCTCCATGTCTCCTACCCAACCCACCCTGCCATCGGCAGCCGAGCTTTCAGCCTCTCTGCCCCCGCCCTTTGTAACTCCATCCAACAATCCCTTGGCCTCGCTCCCTCCCTTCACGAGTCGCGGTTCCTCATGGCCTGAAGAGCCACCCATAATATCAGCTGGTCCCACTGCACTGTCCTCACACCCAGGTCACTTACACCGTTATAACGGGCTCTGAGTACCGGCCGTGGGGAAAGCGGGTAAACTGGGCACTGGGAATGTGAAGCCCGAGGACTTGCAGAGCACAAGACAGCTACGGGGGGAATTGTTCTACTGGGGGAGAGGCAGTTACCCCTTCCAGGTGTCACACTCTCCCTCTCAGTTCTCTCTCTCTCTGTCTCTCGCTCTGTCTTTCTCTCACTCAGTCTCTCTCTCCCCATCCCTTCCATTCAGTCTATCTCTCTATCTCTCAGTCTCAGTCTCTCGCTCTGTTTCTCCCGTTCTGTCTTCATGTCCTCTCTCTCTCTCTGTCAATCTCAGGCTCTCCCGTAAAACACAGTTACACATTATAACATATTCTCTCACACAATTTCTCTCTCTATCTCCATCTCTAACTTTGTCTCTGCTGTCTCTATCACACACTCTCCGTCTCTCTCTTTAACTCTCCCTCTCTCTCTCTGTCTCTCTCTCAGTCTCTCTTTCTCAGTTTATCTCTGCAGTCTCTCTCTCTCTATCTCCTATCCAGTATCTCTCTCTCTCTCTCTGTGTCTCTTTATCTCATCCTCTCTCTGTCTTTCCCGCAAAACACGCATGTTATAATATATTATCTCTCCGTCTCTCGCTATCTCTCTCATTCTAATAATAATAATCCTTGCATTTGATATAGCGCTTTTCACGCCTTCTCGACGTCTCAAAGCGCTTCACAGAATATGCTGTCAAGTGAATTGACCGTATATTTGTGGGCGAAAGGCGATTTGCGCACAACAGCGTCCCACAAACAGTCGTTGATTGAAAATGACCCATTTATTATTGTTTTGTTTTGGAGGGAATATTATTAGGCGTGTGGAGTAAACTTGCCCAAGGTTTCGCCCTCCTTGGAATTGAACCCAAATGACTCGCTTGCAAAGCGAGTGCTCTAACCACTGAGCTACAGGACTCCACTATCACTCAACTATCACTCTATCGCTCACAGTCAGATCTCAAAGTACCTCTTACTTAATTTCTTTCTCGGTCTCTTGCTCTCTATCTATTTCTCAGTCTCTCTCTCTATCGCTCTCTCTCCCACCTTTAGTCTCCCTCTGTATCTCACCTACAAACTGCACATTCTATACGATATACAATATATTCTCTCTCACGGTTTCCCTCTCTCAGTCGCTCTCTCTCTCTCTTTCTGTCTATCAGTCTCTCTCAGGCTCCCTCTCTATCTCTCTCAGTGTCTCTCTCGCTTTCTGCCTCTTCCGAAAAACACACGGTTACTGCAATTTATAATATATTTTCTCTCTCTCTCTCTCTCTCACTCAGTCACTCTCTTTATCTGTCTCTCTCAGTGGCTCCCTCTGTACCTCTCCCAAAAAACACAGTCACTACACTTCGTAATATACTTTCGCCCAGTCTCTCCTCTCTCAGTTTCTCTGTGTATGCCGAAAACACAGTCACTATATTTTATAAAATACTCTCTCGCTCAGTTTCTCTCTCTCAGTCTCTCTCTCAGTCTCTCTCGTTGTCCGTTTCTCTATCTTTCTCACAGTCTCTCTCTCTCTGTCTCACTCTACCACAAAACACACAGTCGCTGTACATTATAATATATTTTCTCTCTCAGTCTCTCTCAGTATATCTCTCTATCTCACTCAGTCTCTCTCTGTGACTCTCTTCGTCTCTTTCTCACTCTCTCTCTCCCTCCCAGTGACTATCTCTCTCTCCTAGACTCTCACACTTTCTCTCATTGTATCATTTTCTCATATTTTTGCTTTTTCTCTCCCCCNAAAACACAGTCACTACAATGTGTAATACATTATCTCTCACATTCTCTCTCTCGCTTGCTCTCTCTCTGTCTCTTTCAGTCTCTATTTCTTTCACTCTGTCAGTCTCTTTCCCTCAGTGTCTCTTCGTCTCTTCCACAAAACACAGTCACTACACGCTATGTATTTTCGCTCAGTCTCTCAGTTTCTTTCTCTCTTGCAGTCATCCTTTCACAGAGCTCTCTCTGTCTCTCTCAGTCTCTCTTTCTGTCTCTCTCTCTCTCTCTCTCATTCTACCTCTTTCTCATATTTTCGCTCTGTCTCTCACCCAAACCACACAGCAAATACACTTTATAATATATTTTCTCTCACATTCTCTCTGGCTCTCATTCTCTCTCTCAGTCTCTCGTTCATTCTCTTTCTTGCATGTGTATCGTGTATCATTTGCAGTTACTGTGTGTTTTGTGGGCGAGAGAGAGAGAGATGGAGAGAGAATAACATACAGAGAAAAGGAGTCAGACCGAGCGACTCAGAGGGAAAATAGACTATAAAGTTTATTGACTGTTTCGTGGAAGAGAGTGAAGAGAGAGTGAGACTGAGAGAGAGACTGAGAGACACAGAGAGAGAGATTCAGAAAGGGACTGGCAGAGAGAGACTGAGAGAGAGAATGAGACTAATCGAGATACACTGAGAGATCGAAGTTGAGAGATGGACAGAGTGAATAAATGAGAGTGAGAGATTCAGAAAATAGAGAGAGAGAGAGGCTGAGAGACTGTGAAGGAGAAAGACCGATAGAGAGTGACTGAGAGAGATAGAGACTGAGAGAGATAGAACGAGAGACTGAGTGAGAGAGATCTCGAGAGAGTGAAAGAGACAAAAAGATAGACAGAGAGGGTTTGTGTGTGAGACAGAGGAGAGAAACTAGGGGAGAATAACGGCGATATATAGAGAAAAATGACATAGAGAAAGAGACTGGTTGGGAGAATATATTATATTTCAAGTATAGTGACTGTTTTGTGTAAGAGACAGAGCGAGAGGGAGAGAGAGAGCGAGACTGAGAGCGATACTATGACAGAGAATATGTTATAAAATGACTGTTTTGTGGGAGACTTAGAGAGAGACTGAGAGTGGGAGACTGAGAGAGACAGCGAGAGTGAGAAAATACATTATAATGTATAGTGTCTTTCTGTTTGGTGGGAGAGACTGAGAGAGAGTGAGAGAGAGAGGGAGAGACTGAGAGAGAGACTGTGAAAGTGACTGAGAGAAAGCAAGACTGATCGAGATACGCTGAGAGACTGCGAGACGGAGAGAGAGAGAATAAATGAGAGTGCGAGATTGAGAGAAACAGAGACTGAGAGAGAGGAAGACTGAGAGAGAGATTGGGAAAGAGAGAGAAAGACAGACAGAAAAAATAAGAGATACTGAGAGGGAGACTGATAGAGACAGTGAGCCAAAATATGTTTTAAAGTGAAGTGACTGTGTGTTATGTGGTAGAGACTGAGGGAGAGAAACTGCAGTAGAGATCGAGGAGAATGAAAGAGTGATTGAAAGAAAAAGTGCGAGACACAGTGTGAGAGAGACTGAGAGAGAGACTGAGAGAGATTGTGATAGAAAACAGAAAGAGAGAGAATCAGATAGAATATATTACGAAGGGAAGTGAGGGCGTGTTTTTGTGGGAGAGACATAGAGAGATTGAGAGAGCGAGTGAGAGGAACAGAGTTAGAGACAGTGAAAGCGCACATATTATAAAGTGTAGTGACTGTTTTGTGGGAGAGACAGAGAGAGACTCAGAGAGAGAGAAACTGAGAGACAGAATGGGAAAAAGATTGAGAGACAGAGAGAGTGAACGAGAGAGACAGTGAGAGAGACTGAGATACAGAGAAAGAGACAGAGAGAGAGAGAGAGAGCGTGAGAGAGACGGAGAGAGAGTGAGAGAGAGAGATAGAGAGAGAGAGACTGGACTGTGTGGGCACATGTGTGCATGTGCCTGACACTGGTCCCACCGCTTTGGGACTTGCTCCCCACGTGAAAGGTTCCTGTATATACATGTCAATGTGTATTGTGTTGTTACACTATACTCCCTGTGTTTGTGTCTCTGTGTCCAGGTTGGGGGACAATAATCTGGGAGATTGTGGAGTGAAGCGACTGTGTGAGGCTCTGAGGAACCCGGAGTGTAAAATACAGAGTCTGGAGTAAGTAACGCACAGTGTCTCCAGAGTCTGAATGACTGCAATATCTCAATGTGTTTATTGTGACTGTCTGATCACTGCGGCTGAATATTGTGACAGGAATCGGTGTGACAATGTGAGGCTACAAGCCATCGTTTACATCAAACTCTCAACATGTGTTAAGGTGCGCCTGTGTGTGTATGTATGTATTTGTTTGTGTGTGTGTGTGTGTGCCTCTGTCTGTTGTGAGAAACATTTCCAACTATCTCTAACAATTTTACAATGACTCGATTCCAGCTCACCAATTGGATGAGTTAAGTCACTTTGTTCAGGTCAAAACAGCAGGAAATACACAAATAAATGAAACAATAAAATAATACACAAGACACAAAACGGTACCGAGCGGATTCCTGTCACAGCCCTGGTCGTGTCTCGCACTGCTCTGCGACCATTCCCGAGAGATATCTAACACACCTTTGTTTAAAGACACCTTAATATCTCCAGCCGACGCTGTCTTTTTTAAGAAAAAATAACGGTTATATTCATAACATGTTTCAATTCTCCCTTTATCCACATTTTATTCTCTCCTGATCAGTCCTTTCGTCCAGTGTGTAAGTGTGAACAGACTTTCTGTGTCCTTCTACGTCCTGACCTTATGTTGCCATTGTTTTTTTATAAATGGAATCTTGTTGTTGTTGTTGTTGTTGTTGTTTTGGGCTCTGCCTTCAGTCACTGAGCTTTGCCGCCTTTGCACTTCTCTTTTATATTCTTTAACCACACTTTACACTATCCCATGAAAACATTTTGTGTATGCGTGTGTGTGTGTGTGTCAGGGCATATGAATTAGTCTGTGTCATGTGTGTGTCTGTGTGCCTAGCTGTGTGTGTGCATGTTTCTGTGTACGTGTGTCTGAGTGTTTTTGTGACTGTTTGTTTGTGTGTTTTTGAGTGAGCTTCTGTGTTTTTCTTGTGAATGCGCCATTCAGTGTGTGTTTGCTTCTGTGTTTCTGCGTGTGTATTTGTGCGCGTCTGTTTGTTTGTGTGTATATTTGTGTATATGTTTGTGTTTGTGTGCGCATTTGTGAGTGTTTGTGTGTGTCTGTCAGTGCCTTGGGACGTCCTCTCGACGTGAAAGGTACTATACAAATATTGTTGTTGTTGTTGTTCGTGTTTGTGTATGTTCCTGTGAGTGTGTGAGATTGTGTGTGTGTTTGTGTGTGTGTTCCCAACTCTTCCCTTCACAAACTGCAGATCATCCAAACACTGCAGCTCGTGTCCTCTCACACACACCAGGCTCCCGACCCCATCACTCCCACCCTCGCCCGACCCCATCACTCCCACCCTCGCCCGACCCCATCACTCCCACCCTTGCCCGACCCCATCACTCCCACCCTTGCCCGACCCCATCACTCCCACCCTCGCCCGAACTCATCACTCCCACCCTCGCCCGACCCCATCACTCCCATCCTCGCCCGACCCCATCACTCCCACCATCGCCCTACCCCATCACTCCCACACTGGCCTGATCACATCATTCCCACCCTCGTCCGACCCCATCACTCCCACACTCGCCCAAGTCTCTCCATCGTCCAGAAGATCGAGTTCAAAATCCTCGTCCTCACTTTTAAGGCCATCCATAGCCTCGCTCCCTCCTCCCCTCTCTGACTTGCTGGCTGCCTACCAACCTGCCCGCTCCCTCCGTTCAGTGGGCTCCGGGCTGCTCCATGTCTTCCGGCCGACCCGCCCTCCCATCGGCGGCCGGGCTTTCAGCCTCTCTGCCCCAACACTCTCGAACTCCTTCCCATGGTCCCTTCCATTCACTTCCTCCCCGGCCTCCTTCAAGGCCGGTCTTAAGACCCTTCTCTTCTACCGTGCCTTTGATCTCCCTCCCACTTCTCTGCCTTCCCCCAACCCTCCCACATCGATCCCACCACTCAGCCCTTCCCCACCTCTCCCCCATGCTCGGGCCTCGACCCCCGACTGTTCAGCGCTCTGGGATGTCCTCAGGACGTGAAAGACGCTCTGTAATTGTCATTTTGTTGATGTTGCTATGTATTTGTATTTGTGTGCGTGCAAGTGTGTATGTGTGTGTGTGTGTGTGTGTGTGTGTTTGAGAGTTTGTATGTGTATTTATCTGTGTGTTTTTGCGTTTGTTTGCGTGAGTGTGCTCACGTATGCGTTTGTGTGTGATTGTATGTTTTTCTTTGTGTGTGCATTTGTGTGTTTCATCGTGTGTATGTTTGTACGTGTATTGGTATGTGTGGGTTTTTATTTGATTTTGTGCTTCTGTTTATGCTTGTGTGCTTTTCAGTGTGTCTTTACGTGTGTTTCCATGTGTGTGTGATTGTGTGTGTTATGTTTGTTTGAATCTGCATGTGTGTGCGTGTTTGTGAGTTTGTTTTAATTTGTATTTGTGTGTTTCTGAGTATATATCTGTGCGATTGTTTGCGTGTATGTTTATGCATGTTTATATATGTATGTGAATTTGTGCTTGTGTGCTTTATTCTTTGTATGTCTGTTTTTGTGTGTGTCTGTGTGTTTGTGTGAGTGTTTGTGTTTGTTTCTGTGTGTGCGATTGTGTGCGTTTGTGTATTGGTGTGTTTGTTTGTATGCGTATGTGTGGGTAAGTTTCTGTGTCGGTGATTGGTGTGGGTGTGTGTTTGTGCGTGTAATTTTGTGTTTGTATTTATGTGTTTGTGTGCATGTGTGTGTATGTGTCTGTTTGTTTTTTCTGTGTGTATATGTGTCTTTAAGTGGGTGAATTTTTTCTGTGGGTCATGTGCTTGTGTTTGTGTATGTGTATTTATGTGTGTGTGGTTTTGTTCATTTTTGTGTGTGTGCGCTTGTGTGAGATTTTACGCATGTGTGGTTGCGTGAGTGTGTTTGTGTGTGTGTGTCTGTGTATTTGTCTGTGGGTCATGTGTTTGTTTGTGTGTGTATGCGTGTTTATGTGTGTGTGCTTCTGTGTGTGTGTCTATCTGTGTATGTCTATGTGTGTTTGTGTGTATGTCTGTGTGTGTGTATTTGGCTGTGGGACATGTGTATGTATTTATTGTGTGTTTGTGTGTGATTTTGTTTTTGTTTGTATGTGCGCGTGTGATTGTTTGCGCGCGCCTGTGTATGCGTATCTGCGATTTTGTGTGCATGAGTTTGAGTGTTTGTGCGTGTTTGTCGGTTTCTGTGTTTGAGTGTGTGCATATTTGCATGTTTGTTTGTTTGTTTGTGTATCTGTGTATGTTTATTTATGTGTGCGTGTTTGTATGTGATTTTGTGTGTTTCTTTGTATTTATTTCTGTTTTTGTGTGTGTTTGTATGTTTGTGTGTTGCGTTTGTTTGTGTGTACATGTGCGTGTGTGTTTGTGAGTTTGCTTTTGTGTATGCTTGTTTGTTTGTGTGTTTCTGTGTGTGTGTATTTGTGTGTATTTCTGCGTATGTTTGTGTATGTGTGTTTGCTTGTGTTTATTTCTGTGTTTGTGTGTGTTTACGTATGTGCGTTTGCATATGTTTATGTGTGCGTTTTCGTGCGTGTCTGTGTATTTGTTTGTGTGTGTTTCTCTGAGTGTGGGGGATTGTGTGCGTTTGTGTGTCTGTGTGCTTGTTTGTGTGTTTCTGTGTGTATTTTCGTAAGTCTGTGTTTGTGTGGGTGCGTTTATTTATGTGCTTGTGTGTTTATGTGTGTTTCTATATGTATGTGTGTATCTCAATGTGTCTGTGTGTGTGTCTATGTGTGCGCGTCTGTCTGTGTGTGCTTGGGTGTCTGTGTCTGTTTGTGTGTATTTGTATGTGAGTCATGCGTTTATATGTGTGTGTGAGTAAGAGTATATCGGTCGCTGCGTGTCTGTGTTGGTGTGTATCTGGTGTGTGTGCGTGTGTGTGTCGCACTCCTACAACCTGTCCGGCATCAAACAAACTGTGAGTGACAGTGGGTTACACACACTGTGTTTACTCCGATCCCTGTTATGTCTCTGTGTCTCTGATCTACAGACTGTGGGGTAACAATCTGACAGCTGATTGTACTGAGGATCTGACCTCCGCTCTCAGCACAAACCACTCACTGACGGACCTGAACCTGAGTTACAATAAACTGGGAGATTGTGGAGTGAAGCGATTGTGTGAGGCTCTGAGGAACCCGGAGTGTAAAATACAGAGTCTGTGGTAAGTAACGCACTGCGTCTCCAGAGTGTGAATGACTCCAATATCTCAATGTGTTTATTGTGACTGGCTGATCAGTGCGGCTGAATATTGTGACAGGAATCGGTGTGACAGTGTGAGGCCACAAGCCATCGTTTACATCAAACTCTCAACATGTATTAATGTGTGTGTCTGTGCGGGTGTGTGTGTCTTTCTGTGTGTGTCTCTGTGTGTGTGTCTCTGTGTGTCTGTGTATGTGTGTGTGTGACTGTTAGAACAATTTGAAACTCTCTCCAAAAATTTTAAAATGATCCGATTCCAGTTTACCTATTGGTTGAGTTCGGTCACTATATTCGTGAAAATAGCAGGTAATGCACAAGTAAATGAAACAATAATATAATACACAAGACACAAAACGGTACCGAGCGGATTCCTGTCACAGCACTGGTCGTGTCTCGCACTGCTCCGCTACCGTTTCCGAGAGATATCTAACACACCTTTGTTTAAAGACAACTGAATACCTCCTTCTGAAGATGACTTTTTTTATGAAAAACAACTCCTTGTATGATTATATCCATAATATGTTTCAATTTCGATTCTCCCTTTAACCAGAAGGATTTTCCGTGTCCCTGTAAGTCCTGACCTTATGTTGCCATTGTTTTGGGTTCTGCCTTCAGTCAATGAGCTTTGCCGCCTTTGCACTTCTACTTTAGATTCTTAAACCACACGTTAACATTAGCCCATGACAACACAGTGTGTATGTATGTCTCTGTGTGTGTGTGTGTGTGTGTGTGTCAGTGCATGTGTCGTTGCATGTGTGTGTGTGTGTCAATGGATGTGTGTGTGTGTGTGTGTGTCAATGGATGTGTGTGTGTGTGTGTGTCTGTTTGCGTGTCTGTGTGTATGTGTGCGTTTGCCTGTGTATGTGGGTCTCTGTGCTTTTGTGAGTGGTTTTGTAAGTTTGTGTGTGTGTCTGTGTGAGCGATTGTTTGTGTGTGGGTTCGTCTTTGTTTCCGTGTTTGTGTTTGTGCGTGTGTTTTTGAGTGTATCTATATATGTATATATTGTGTGTCTCTCTGTCTGTGTGTGTTTGTTTCTGCAGAGTTTTTTGTCTCTCAGTGTGTATTTGTGTTCGACTGTGTTTGCTTGTGTGACTTTGTGCTTGTGAGTGTGTGTGTGAGAGAGCCTTGGGACGTCCGACATGAAAGGCGATATACAACTGTAATCTTGTTGTTGTTGTTGTGTGCGTTTGTGTATGTTCCTGTGAGTGTGTGCAATTCTGTGTGTTTGTGTGTGTTCCTGTGAGTGTGTGCGATTGTGTGTGTGTTTGTGTGTGTTCCTGTGAGTGTGTGCGATTCTGTGTGTGTTTGTGTGTGTTCCTGTGAGTGTGTGCGATTGTGTGTGTATCCCAGAGGATCGAGTTCAAGATCCTCATCCTCACCTTTAAGGCCATCCATGGCCTCGCCCCCTCCTCCCCTCTCTGACCTGCTGACTCCCTACCAACCTGCCCGCTCCCTCCGTCCAGTGGGCTCCGGGCTGCTCCATGTCTCCCGCCCGACCCGCCCTCCCATCGGTGTCCGGGCTTTCAGCCTCTCTGCCCCACACTCTGGGACTCCATCCCACGGTCCCTTCCCCTCACTTCCTCCTTTGCGTCCTTCAAGGTCGGTCTCAAGACCCTTCTCTTCGATCGAGCCTTTGGTCTCCCTCCCACCTCTCTGCCTTCCCTCACTCCTACGCCACCCCTCCCCCACCCCTCGCCACCCCTCCCCGACCCCTCCCCCACCCCTTCCCCACCCCTCCTCCACCCCTCCCCCACCCCTCCCCACCCCTCCCCACCCCTCCCCCACCCCTCCCACACCCCTCGCCACCCCTCCCCCACCCCTCCCCACCCCTCCCCCACCCCTCCCCACCCCTCCCCCATGCTCAGGCCCCGACACCTGACTGTTCAGTTCTTTGGGACGTCCTGTCGACATGAAAGGCGCTCTGTAAATGCAATTGTATTGATGTTATTGTGTATTTGCGTGTGTGTATTTGTGTGTGTGAGTGTGTGTGCCTGTCTGCGGTATGTGCGTGGTTGTGTCTGTGTGCTTGCACGTTTGTGTGCTTGTTGTGTGTATGTGAATTTATGTGTGTGTGTTTTTCTGTGTGTGTTTGTGTGTGGGTGTTTGTGTGTGTGTGTTTGCGTATGTTTCATAGTGTGAATCTATGTATCTGTATTTATGTCTGTGTTTGTATTTGATTTTGTGTTTCTTTGTTTGTTTGTGTGTTTTTGAGTGTGTGTCTGTTTGTCTTTATGTATGTTTCTATGTGTGTGTATATGACTGTGTGTTGTGTTTTTGTGTGTGCGCATTTGTGAGTTTGTTTTTGTGTGTCTTTGTTTGTGTGTTTCAGTGTGTATTTGTGCGTGTGTTTTCGAGTTGTGGTTATGTATCTTTGTATATGTCTTTGTATGTGTATTAGTGTGTGTACCTGTGTGCTTTTTTCTATGTGTGTGTGTTTATGTGTATGTTTGCGTGTGTTTGTGTGTGTGTCCCTTTGTTTGTGTTTCTGTGAGTGTGTGTGTTTGTTTCTGTGTGTTTCTCTGTGTGTGCGTCACTGTGTGTGTCTGTATTTGTCTGTTCGACATGTGCTTGTTTGTGTGTGTGTGTGTGTGTGCTTGCATGAGTGTGTTTGCGTGTGTGTTTGTGTGTGTGTACTTGTCTGTGGATCATATGTTTGTGTGTGTGCATGTATGTGTGTGTGTTTGTGTGCCATTATGTTTATGTTTGTGTGTGTGCTTGTGTGAGTGATTGTGCTTATGTTTGCCTTTGAGTGTGTGTGTTGGCGTATGTTCGATTTTGTTTATATGAGGTTTTGAGTGCTTTTGTGAGTGTTTGCGTGTGTTTGTGTGTTTCTGTGTGTGCGTGTGAGTTTGTGTGTGTGTATATTTGTGTGTGTTTGTGTTTATCTATGTATGTCTATTTATATCTGTGTTTGTTTGTACATGATGTTCTTCTGTTCGTGTTTGTGTGTTTTTGAGTGTATCTTTATGTGCGTTTGTATGTTTGTGGGTGTTTATGTGTGCGTGTTTGTCAGTCTGTTTTCGTGTACGTTTGTTTGTTTCTGTGTGTGTGTATTTGGGCGTGTTTGTGTGAATGTTTATGGATGTTTGTGTGTGTATGCGTGTTTGTGCGTGCGTGTGTTTTTTTCTGTGTGTGTATTTGCGTGTGGTTGTGTTTGTGTGCACATGTGTCTGCGTTTGTGTGAATGATTGATTATTTGTGTGTGTGTTTGTGTTTGCTTTTGTGAGTTTCTGTGTGTGTTTGCGTACATATGTGTTTGCGTGGGTGAGTTTTTGGTTGTGATTGTGTATGTTTCTGTGTGAGCGCGTTTGTGTGAGAGTGCTTGTGTGTTTGTTTGTCTGCGTGCGTGAGTGTGTGTATTTATGTGTGTATGTGTGTGTCTGTGTGTGCGTCTGTCTGTTTATATGACTCTGTTTGTGTGTGTTTGTGTGTATATTTCTGTGGGTCATGTGTTTGTGTTTGGGTGCATTTTTGTGTGGGTCATGTGTTTCTGTGTATTTGTGTGTGTGAGAGTAAGTGTGTATCTGCGGCGATGTTTTTGTCTGTGTTTGTGTGTGTTGATGTGTGTATGTTTGTGTGTATGAACTCCTGCAACCTGTCCGGCATCAAACAAACTGTGAGTGACAGTGGGTTACACACACTGTGTTTACTCTGATCCCTGTCATGTCTCTTTATCTCTGATCTCCAGGTTGGACAGTAACAATCTGACGGCTGATTGTACCGAGGATCTGACCTCCGCTCTCAGCACAAACCACTCACTGACGGAGCTGAAGCTGAATAATAATAATCTGGGAGATTGTGGAGTGAAGCGACTTTGTGGGGCTCTGAGGAACCCGGAGTGTAAAATACAGAAACTGTGGTAAGTAACGCACTATGTCTCCAGAGTCTGAATTACTCCAATATCTCAATGTGTTCATTGTGACTGTCTGATCAGTGCGGCTGAATATTGTGACAGGAATCGACAGTGACAATGTGAGGCCACAAACCATCGTTTACATCAAACTCTCAACGTGTGTTAATGTGTGTGTGTGGGTTTGTCCTTTGCAACTATCTACAACGACTTTAGAATGACCCGGTTCTAGTTTACAATTTGGTTGAGTTCAGTCACTTTATTCAGGACAGAACAGCAGGTAATACACAAATAAATGAAACAATAAAATAATACACAAGGCACAAAACTGTCCCGAGCGGATTCCTGTCACAGCACTGGTCGTGTCCCGCACTGCTCCGCTACCGTTCCCGAGAGATATCTAACACTCCTTTGTTTAAAGACAACTGAATAACTCCAGACAAAACTTATCTTTTTTAAGAAAAACTACTCCTTATATGGTTATATCCATAATATGTTTCAATTTCAATTCTCCCTTTAACCACAAGGACTTTCCGTGTCCCTGTACGTCCTGATCTTATGTTGCCATTGTTTTGGGTTCTGCCTTCAGTCACTGTGCTTTGCCGCCTTTGCACTTCTATTTTAGATTCTTGAACCACACTTTAACATAAACCGATGACAACACTGTTTACATGTATGTCTGTGTGTGTGTGTGACAGTGCATGTATTTGTGTTTGTGTATGTGTGTGATTGTGTATGTTTGTGTGCATTTGCCTGTGTATGTGGGTCTGTGTGTTTTTGTATGTGCTTTCGTAAGTGTGTGTGTGTCTGTGTGAGCGATTGTTTGTGTGTGGGTTCGTCTTTGTTTCTGTGTTTGTGTTTGTGCGTGTGTTTTTGAGTATATCTATATATATTGTGTGTCTCTCTGTCTGTGTGTGTTTGTTTCTGCAGAGTTTTTTGTGTCTCAGTGTGTATTTGTGTTCGACTGTGTTTGCTTGTGTGACTTTGTGCTTGTGAGTGTGTGTGTGTCAGAGCCTTGGGACGTCCGACATGAAAGGCGACATACAACTTGTAATCTTGTTGTTGTTGTGTGCGTTTGTGTATGTTCCTGTGAGTGTGCGCGATTGAGTGTGTGTATCCCAGAGGATCGAGTTCAAGATCGTCGTCCTCACCTTTCATCCATGGCCTCGCCCCCTCCTCCCCTCTCTGACCTGCTGACTCCCTACCAACCTGCCCGCTCCCTCCGGCCAGTGGGCTCCGGGCTGTTCCATGTCTCCCGCCCGACCCGCCCTCCCATCGGTGTCCGGGCTTTCAGCCTCTCTGCCCCACACTCTGGGACTCCATCCCACGGTCCCTTCCCCTCACTTCCTCTCTTGTCTCCTTCAAGGTCGGTCTTAAGACCCCTCACTTCGATCGTGTCTTTGGTCTCCCTCCCAACTCTCTGCCTTCCCTCACTCCTACCCCACCCCTCCCCACCCCTCCCCACCCCTCGCCACCCATCGCCACCCCTCCCCCACCCCTCCCCCACCCCTTGCCACCCATCGCCACCCCTCCCCCAGTGCTCAGTCCCCGACACCTGACTGTTCAGCGCTTTGGGAAGTGAAAGGTGCTCTGTAAATGCAATTTTATTGATGTTATTGTGTATTTGCGTGTGTGTGTTTGTGTGTGTGAGTGTGTGCGCATGTCTGCTGGTATGTGCGTGGTTGTGTCTGTGTGCTTGCACCTTTGTGTGTTTGGTTGTGTGTATGTGTATTTATGTTTGTGTGTTTTTCTCTGTGTGTTTGTGTGTGGGTGTTTTGTGTGTGTGTGTTTGTGTATGTTTGTCCGTGTGAATCTAGGTATGTGTTTTTATGTCTGTGTTTGTATTTTATTTTGTTTCTTTGTTTGTCTGTGTGTTTTTCAGTGTGTGTCTGTTTGTCTTTATGTATATTTCTATGTGTATGTGTATGATTGTGTGTCGTGTTTTTGTTTTGCGCGTATTTGTGAGTTTGTTTTTGTGTGTCTTTGTTTGTGTGTTTCTGTGTGTATTTGTGCGTGTGTTTTCGCGTGTATGGTTATGTATGTTTGTGTATGCCTGTGTATGTGTGCGTGTGTAATTGTGTGCTTTTTTTGCGTGTGTGTGTGTGTTTACGTGTATGTTTGCGTGTGTTTGTGTGTGTCCGTTTGTTTGTATTTCTGTAGTGTGTGTGTTTGTTTCTGTGTGTTTCTCTGTGTATATGTGTCTGTGTGTCTGTATCTGTGTGTGTGTATTTGTCTGTGCGACATGTGTTTGTTTGTGTGTGTATGTGTGTGCTTGCATGAGTGTGTTTGCGTGTGTTTCTGTGTGTGTGTGTTTACTTGTCTGTGGGTCATGCGTTTGTGTGTGTGACTGAGCGTATTTGTCTATGGGTCATGTGTTTGTTTATGTGTGTATGTGCATGTATGTGTGTGTGTTTGTGTGCCATTTTGTTTATGTTTGTATGTGAGCTTGTGTGAGTGATTGTGCTTATGTTTGTGTGTGTGTTTGAGTGTGTGTGTTGGCGTGTGTTCGATTTTGTGTGTATGAGTTTGTGAGTGTTTGTGTGAGTTTTTGTGTGTGTTTGTTTGTTTCTGTGTGTGCGTGAGTTTGTGTGTGTGTATATTTGTGTGTGTTTGTGTGTATCTATGCATGTCTATTTATATATCTTTGTTTGTATGTGCTGTGCTTCTGTTTGTGATTGTGTGTTTTTGAGTGTGTCTTTATGTGCGTTTGTATGTTTTACGGGTGTTTTTGTGTGCGTGTTTGTCAGTCTATTTTCGTGTACGTTTGTTTGTTTGTGTGTTTCTGTGTGTGTGTATTTGTGTGTGTTTGTGTGAATGTTTATGTATGTTTGTGTGTGTATGCGTGTTTGTGCGTGCGTGTGTTTTTTTATGTGTGTGTGTTTGCGTGTGGTTGTGTTTGTGTGCATATGTGTGTGCGTTTGTATGAATGATTGATTGATTGTTTGGGTGTGTGTTTGTGTTTGCTTGTGTTAGTTTCTGTGCGTGTGTTTGCGTACGTGTGTGTTTGCGTGGGTGTATTTTTGGGTGTGATTGTGTATGTTCCTGTATGAGCGCGTTTGTCTGAGAGTGTTTGTGTGTTTGTTTGTCTGCATGTGTGAGTGTATGTGTTTATGTGTGTATGTGTGTGTCTGTGTGTGCGTCTCTCTGTTTATGTGACTCTGTTTGTGTGTGTTTGTGTGTATACACGCCTAATAATAATCCCTCCAAAAAAACAAAACAATAATAAATTGGTCATTTTTCAATCTACGACTGTTTGTGGGACATTGCTGTGCGCAATTGGCTGCCGCGTTCGCCCACAAATATACAGTCAATTCACTTTACAGTGTGTTCTGTGAAGCGCTTTGGGACGTCCACCCGACGTGAAAAGCGCTATATCAAATGCAAGGATTATTATTATTATTATTATTATTATTATTATTATATTTCTGTGGGTCATGTGTTTGTGTTTGTGTGTATTTGCGTCTGTGAGAATAAGGGTGTGTCTGGGGCGATGTTTTTGTCTGTGTTTGTGTGTTGGTGTGTTTGTGTGTGTTTGTGTGTATGAGCTCCTACAACCTGTCCGGCATCAAACAAACTGTGAGTGACAGTGGGTTATACCCACTGTGTTTTCTCTGATCCCTGTCACGTGGAGTCCTGTAGCTCAGTGGTTAGAGCACTCGCTTTGCAAGTGAGAGACCTGAGTTCAATTCCAGGCAGAGGGCGAAACCTTGGGCAAGTTTCCTTACTCCACACAGAGCCTAATAATAAGCCCTCCAAAAAAAAAAAAACAATAATTAAATTGGTCATTTTCAATCTACGACTGTTTGTGGGACATTGCTGTGCGCAATTGGCTGCCGCGTTCGCCCACAAATATACAGTCAATTCACTTTACAGTGTGTTCTGTGAAGCGCTTTGGGACGTCCTCCCGACGTGAAAAGCGCTATATCAAATGCAAGGATTATTATTATTATTATTATTATTATGTCTCTGTGTCTCTGATCTCCAGGTTGGACAGCAACAGACTCACCGACGGCTGCATTGATGATCTGGTCTCCGCTCTCAGTACAAACCGCTCACTGAGGATCCTGGACCTGAGGTCTAACTCCTTCACAGACGGCTCTGTCCCCGCTCTCCGCCGCCTCATACAGACCTGCACCAGTCTGGAGGGGATCAGGTGAGTGTTTGTGTCAACGTTTAATGTGATAAACACACAGAGAAAGGGCTGTGTATCAGAATGGGAACAGTTTGAAGGGATTTATTTATTCATTAAACTGCGACACGAACATTTTACAGTTTGTACCATTATCCCATGGGTTTATTTCCTGTTTAATGTGTTTCAGGCTGAGAGGGAATGGGTTCAGTTCAGATGGAGAGAATCAGCTGTCGTCACTGTGGGGAATCAGACCTGAGCTGAGAGTGTCAGTGTGACACTGACTGAGGCAGTGACTGTCCACACAGTCTGTGTAATATGGAATATATTCTGGACACTGTAGTGACTGATTATTAAAGATGTTGATCCTGATTCCTCTCCCATCTCTGCTCTGGTGACCGTTATTGACACACACCGCCTACGGGCGTGCGGGCGGCTGGAGAGCCCCGACCCTCAGTCACTGCTAAACTGCTGTAAGCGACCACAACTGATGCACTTTCTCTCACAGTCTCTCTCTCTCTCTGTGTGTGACAGTCCCTCTCAGTTTATACATTTCCGTCTCTCTCTCTCTCTCTGTGTGTTTGCCTCAGTCAGTGCTGGTCTTTGAGATAGTGTGCGAGAGCAGTCAATCTGTGTGTGTGTGAGAGCAGTCAGTGTGTGTGTGTGAGAGCAGTCTGTGTGTGTGTGTGTGAGAGCAGTCAGTATGTGTGTGTGTGTGAGAGCAGTCAGTCTGTGTGTGTGGGGGGGAGAGCAGTCAATGTGTGTGTGAGAGACCAGTTAGTGTGTGTGTGTGTGACAGCAGTCAGTGTGTGTGTGTGTGTGAGAGAGAGCAGTCAGTGTATGTGCGTGTGAGGCAGTCAGTGTGTGTGGGAGCAGTCATTATGTGTGTAGGTGTGTGTGTGAGAGAGCAGTCTGTGTGTGTGTGAGCAGTCAGTGTTTTTTGAGAGCTGTCAGTATGTGCGTAGGTGTGTGTGTATGTGAGAGAGCTGATAGTCTGTGTGTGTGTGAGCAGTCAGTGTGTGTGAGAGCAGTCAGTATTTGTATAGGTGTGTGCGTCTATGTGAAAGCAGTCAGTATGTGAGTATGAGAGAGAGTAGTCAGTGTGTGTGTGAGAGAGCAGTCAGTGTGCGTGTGTTTGTCAGTGTGAGAGAGCAGTCAGTGTGTGTGTGTGTGTGTGTGAGAGCAGTCAGTGTGTGTGGGTGAGAGCAGTCAGTGTGTGTGTGTGTGTGTGTGAGCAGTCAGTATGTGTGTGTGTGTGTGTGTGAGGCAGTCAGTGTGTGTGAGAGCAGTCAGTTTGTGTGTATGAGAGAGAGTAGTCAGTGTGTGTGTATGAGAGAGAGTAGTCAGTGTGTGTGTGTGAGAGAGAGCAGTCAGAGTGTGTGTGTGTATGAGAGCAGTCAGTGTGTGGGAGCAGTTAGTGTCTGTGTTTGTGTGAAGTCAGTGTATGAGAGCAGTCAGTGTGTGTGTGTGGGGGTGGGGGGAGAGCAGTCAGTATGTGTGTGAGAGAGCAGTTAGTGTGTGTATGAGAGCAGTCAGTGTGTGGGAGCAGTTAGTGTCTGTACGTGTGCAGTCAGTGTGTGAGAGCAGTCAGTGTATGTGTGTGTGTGAGGCAGTCAGTGTGTGTGTAGGTGTGTGTGTGTCTACGTAAGAGAAGTCAGTATGTGTGTAGGTGTGTGTGTGTGTCTATGTGAGAGCAGTCAGTATGTCTGTGTGTGAGGGTGGGAGAGTAGTCAGTGTGTGTGTGAGAGAGTAGTCAGTGTGTGTGTGTGAGAGAGAGCAGTCAATGTGTAGGAGAGCAGTCAGTTTCTGTGTGTGTTTGAGAGAGAGCAGTCAGTGTGTGTGTGAGCAGTCAGTGTGTGTGTGTGTGAGAGAGTAGTCAGTGTGTGTGTATGTGTGTGTGTAGGGGGAGATAAGTCAGTGTGTGTGTGTTTGTGTGTGTGAGAGAGCAGTCTGTGTGTGTGTATGTGTGTGTGTGTGAGAGAGAGAGCAGTCAGTGGGTGTGTGTGTGTGAGTCAGTCAGTGTGTGTGAGAGCAGTCAGTATGTGTGTGTTTGTTTGTGTGAGAGAGCAGTCAGTGTGTGTGTGTGTGTGAGAGAGCAGTTAGTGTATGTGTGTGTGAGAGCAGTCAGTGTGTGTGAGAGAGAGAGAGCATTCAGTGTGTGTGTGTGAGAGAGAGCAGTCAGTGTGTTTGTGTGTGAGAGAGCAGTCAGTGTGTGTGTGTGAGAGCAGTCAGTGTGTGTGTGTGTGAGAGCAGTCAGTGTGCGTGAGAGCAGTCAGTATTTGTGTAGGTGTGTGTGTCTATGTGAAAGCAGTCAGTATGTGTGTATGAGAGAGAGTAGTCAGTGTGTGTGTGTGAGAGAGAGCAGTCAGTGTGTGTGTGTGAGAGAGAGAGCAATCAGTGTGTGTGAGAGTAGTCAGTGTGTGTGAGAGCAGTCAGTGTGTGTGTGTGTGTGTGAGAGAGCAGTTAGTGTATGTGTGTGTGAGAGCAGTCAGTGTGTGTGTGTGAGAGAGAGCAGTCAGTGTGTTTGTGTGAGAGAGAGCAGTCAGTGTGTTTGTGTGTGAGAGAGCAGTCAGTGTGTGTGTGTGTGTGTGTGAGAGAGAGAGCAGTCAGTGTGTATGTGGGGGGGGGGAGTAGTCAGTGTGTGTGTGTGTGTGTGAGAACAGTTGGTGTGTGTGTGTGAGCAGTCAGTGTATGTGTGTGTGAGGCAGTCAGTGTGTGTGAGAGCAGTCAGTATGTGTGTAGGTGTGTGTGTGAGAGAGCAGTTAGTGTGTGTGTGAGAGAGCAGTTAGTGTGTGTGAGAGAGAGCAGTTAGTGTGTGTGTATGTGAGCAGTAAGTGTGTGAGAGATCAGTCAGTGTATGTGTGTGCGTGTGTGAGGCAGTTTGTGTGTGTGTATGGGGGGGGTGTGGGGAGAGCAGTCAGTGTGTGTGAGAGCAGTCAGTATGTGTGTGAGAGAGAGTTGTCAATGTTTGTGTGTGTGTGTGTGAGTGAGAGAGAGCAGTTAACGTGTGTGTGTGTGTGTGTGTGAGAGAGAGCATTCAAAATGTGTGAGAGCAGTCAGTGTGTGTGTGTGAGAGAGCAGTCAGTGTGTGTGTGACAGCGGTCAGTGTTTGTGTATGTGAGCAGTCAGTGTGTGAGAGAGCAGTCAGTGTATGTGTGCGTGTGTGTGAGGCAGTCTGTGTGTGTGTAGGTGTGTGTGTGTGAGAGAGCAGTTTGTCTGTGTGTGTGAGTGTGAGCAGTCAGTGTGTGTGGGAGCAGTCAGTATTTGTGTAGGTGTGTGTGTCTATGTGAGAGCAGTCAGTATGTGTGGATGAGAGAGAGCAGTCAGTGTGTGTGTGTGAGAGAGGGTAGTCAATGTGTGTGTGTGTGTGAGAGAGAGAGAGAGCAGTCAGTGTGTGTGTGTGAGAGAGAGCATTCAGTGTGTGTGAGAGCAATCAGTGTGTGTGAGAGAGAGCAGTCAGTGTGTGTGTGTGTGTGAGAGAGCAGTCAGTGTGTGTGTGAGAGAGAGAGCAGTCAGTGTGTGAGTGAGAGCAGTCAGTGTGTATGTGAGAGAGAGCAGTCAGTGTGTGTGTGTGTGAGAGAGAGCAGTCAGTGTGTGTGTGTGAGAGAGAGAGTAGTCAGTGTGTGTGAGAGCAGTCAGTGTGTGTGTGTGGGAGAGAGCAGTCAGTGTGTGTGTGTGTGGGAGAGAGCAGTCAGTGTGTGTGTGTGTGAGAAAGAGCAGTCAGTGTGTGAGTGAGAGCAGTCAGTGTGTGTGTGTGTGTGTTTGTGAGAGAGGAGTCAGTGTGTGTGTGTGAGAGAGAGTAATCAGTGTGTGTGAGAGAGCAGTCAGTGTGTGTGTGGGGGAGAGCAGTCAATGTGTGTGTGTGAGAGAGAGCAGTCAGTGTGTGTGTGAGAGAGAGCAGTCAGTGTGTGTGTGTGAGAGAGCAGTCAGTGTGTTTGTGTGTGAAAGCGTAGTCAGTGTGAGTGTATGAGAGCAGTCAGTGTGTGTGTGATAGCAGTCAGTGTGTGTGAGAGAGAGAGAGCAGTCAGTGTGTGTGTGTATGAGAGAGAGCAGTCAGTGTGTGTGTGTGTGAGAGAGCAGTCAGTGTGTGTGTGTGAGAGAGCAACAACAACAAGATTCCATTTATAGAGCGCCTTTCACGTTAGGAGGACGTCCCAAGGCACTGTGCAGATGGGTCAGGACCCGAGCATTGGGGGGGAAATGGTCAGGTTGAGGGGAGGGAAGGGAGGGAGCGAGGACGGGGGGAGATGGTCAGGGTGAGGGGAGGGAAGGGAGGGAGCGAGGAGGGGGTAGAGAGTCCAGAGGGGAGCTGAAGGCTCGGTCAAAGAGAAAGGTCTTGAGACCGGCCTTGAAGGAGGAAAGGGAAGAAGCGGCGAAGGCACTGGGGATAGAGTTCCAGAGCCTTGGGGCTGAGAGGCTGAAGGCCACCGATGGTAGGGCGGTTGGGGCGGGGGATGTGGAGCAGACCGGAGCCAGAGGAACGGAGGGTACGGGCAGGTAAGTAGGGGATAGTAGGTCGGAGAGGTAGGAGGGAGCGAGGCCGTGAATGGCCTTGTAGGTGAGGATGAGAGGCTTGAATTCGATCCTCTGGGGGATGGGGAGCCGGTGGGGGCGAGCGAGGGCGAGAGTGGGAGTGATGTGGTCGCGAAGCCTGGTGCGGGACAGTACCCAAATCATCCCACTTTCCCCTTCTTACCCCAAGTAGTCCCCCTGCTGTTACCCCAAATATTTCCACTCCCCTGTTCTCACCCCAACCAGTCCCACTCATAGCTCTTACCTACCAATGTTTCCCTCTCGCGCACACTTACCCCAACTTGCCCCATCAGCACCATCCTCGCCCAACTTCACCGGCTTCCCATTACATAGAGGGTATGGTTCAATATCCTGGTCCTCACCTTCAAAGCCCTCCATGACCTGCTCCCCCCCCCCACCTCTGTGACCTCCTAACCGCCTACCAACCTGTACACTCTCTCCGCTCAGCAGGCTCCAGCCTGCTTCATGTGCCCCGCCTCACCCGCCCCATCAATGGCAGTTGGTCCTGCAGCTCCATCCTACGGTGCCTCCGCCACAATCGTCCCCTCCTCACCTCCTTCAAGGTACATCTCAAGACAAGCGAAACGTGGAAGCCGATGACGCCCAGCGACGCCCCCACAAACAGTCGGGGGTTGAAGTGACCAAATTAATATCATTATTATTCCGAAGGGATTATTACCCCCGAAATGTGATTCCATTTCGAAGATGGAGAAAGATGCTAAGATCTGGGTGATGTTGAGCTGAGCTCCTCCC